TAATTTTAATTAATTCATTCTAAAGATACAATTTCATGCAGAGCGAAGCTTCGCTGGCGAAGGCTTCCCATTCCGCCGATTCGTGCGAAAATGCGTAGCGAGCAAAGCTTCACTCAAAGTTCGACACTGTCCAACTATGAGCGAAGCAACGCTGACTCTGGCTATGGTCCACTTGATTAGCCAAATTCGAAGCATCTTTTGATTGGTCAATTTTTTGGATTATCTGTTCAACGTTTCTTTATTCACGGCGAGTGGGAGTAATTTCGTCAGCGAAACTTCGATCCATGAAAAGATAAGAGTCTTTAGCGGAAAGCGTTGAACGCTGGCTTCGTTTACGGCGAAATGAGGAGTCTTCGAAGCTTTGCTGCATGAAATTACCTTAAACGAATTGCCAAATCAAATCTTGAGTCTATTTTCGGTTTGATACTTGGTTTTCTTACAGCCTAATCGCATCTCACCGAGCAATCAGATAAAGCAACGCACAAACGACAGACCGCAGCTTCCTAATGTATTTGCAAATTCTGCGAAGTCATCCACTTTGCCGCGATCTTCCAAATCCACTCAGAATAAAAATAGCTCGACGGTAGGGCAGAACGGTAACGATGCGACCATAGATATGACGAACGACAATATCATCGACATGTCCTCCCCTTATTCACCGGGATCGACCCTGAGTGATAGCCTGTTCGATCCACCTAGTCCTGTCAACTTTAATAATTCACCCATTGCAAATGCACCACCGCCTGCCGCTGCTAAAACTAGCGGCACGCCGAAGATCAACAAGAGCGCGGAGAAGAAAGATCCGTTCGACGCGTTATTCAGTGGAATACTGCCTCCAATTAAGACTGCAACCAAAAACAGAATTAAAAAGGTCACTAAGGAAAAGACGAAGAAGTGTACGTACTTTAATTTTCGTTTTTTTTTTTAATCGAGACGATACAGAGAGAGGTCCGAGTCTTATTTATAGTAACTATTGTATATATGAACAATATAACAGATGCTATATAAGATTAAAAGTTTCATCTGTTTTAGAAGTTTTATCATGAACATTTTTCTTAATATTAACAAACAAATATAGATATATATTTCAGTAATTAATATTAATATTTTAATAATTATGTAAATGATGTATTTTATAACTACCAATCCTAAGGTTGGCGTACGCATGGACGAAAATCAGCTTCAAATCCTGGACGATCTTCCTAGCTCTGCCGTAGAAATGCAAGTTAAAGACAAGGTATATCAACGTTAATATAATTTGTAAAATTACATTAAATATGTAATAAAATTATGTAAAAAATTTTTTTATTCTGTGCTGTTACAGTTTCTTAAAAAACTAAACCGACAAGAGAGAGTCGTGGAAGAAGTAAAATTAGTTCTCAAACCCCATTATACCAAAAAGCACATTACAAAAGAAGAATATAAAGACATCATGCGCAAAGCAGTACCTAAGGTGAATATTATATAAATTTAGATTTTTTATTAATTAAAAGTAATATCGAATTAAACATAATCCAAATAATAAGAAATACACATAATAAAAATATCCTGCAATCTCTCAATTACAGATATGCCATAATAAGACAGGCGAAATTAATCCTAAAAAGATAGCCCATCTAATAGAAGCGTACGTAAAGAAGTGTCGAAATAATAAGAAGAAGACTTCTGGTAAATTAACGAAACCTACGTAAGTATAATTTGAATACAGCTGCATTATACAGCTTTTATATTAATAAAATGAAGTTTAGGGCGCACTTAGTCATACATCAATATATACATACCTACATATAAATATATATTATATATTTTATATATATATATGTGTGTGTGTGTGTGTGTGTGTGTGTATTACAAGCGGAATTAATGCTTCTCTCATCTTTTCATGCAATTGTATTTAATGACACTTACAGGAAAACTCTATGGAGTTGATCACGTGTTGGCAATCCTAGCGCATTAGAAAATTCTTCAACGTTAGGCCTCTCCTTAGACCATGCGTAAAACACATTCTCTCTTCTGGATGGTAAGTGAATTAGAAATATGCATATACATATGTATTTATATACATATGCATATATCTACACTATGTATATGCATGCATCTATGCATATACATCTGCCGATGAGTGAAATATGTATTGTGTGTACATACTTGATTCATTAATTGTATAAGCGTAATATTTTTATTTATCTAATTGTTTAAATACGAAAGAATAAGAGTTCGTGATTACTATTATTATTCACAAATATTAACGTCTAGGTATGATCGCACGTATTCGCGAAGGCACTCGATGATGTACGGCCTCTGTCCGAATATACAGCCGTACATTGCGATGCCTTTTAAAATTCGGTTCGGATCACGATCAACGATCCTCCGCTAAACTAACTAGAAAATATTGTACGATAAGGTTATAATTTAGAGTGTGATTGCGTAATTCAAAAAAATAAAATGAATAACGAAAGAACGCTCAAATAATTCGAATCGCTATTTATGAAAAAGGAAACGGATGGCCAGGTGTATTTTCCCAACAACTTGCAGTGTAAAAAAAAATTAATAGATCCTTAAATCAAGATAGATTCTTAAACCTTTGTATAAGCGAAAAATGGCCTGCTGAGATCTTTTACCAACGAGTATGTTTCCAAGAGTACAAGATATGTGCGGCACCTTGTTTCACTTTATTCATATTATGTAAACAGAAGATAAAACGGCACTCAAGTAAAACACATTTCCGATCAGCGACTTCAAATGTAGATAAATCATGTATAAAAATGCCGGATGTTGTCTCTGTATAATGTAAAATCGATATAAGTTGCGTTTTACTATGCTTATATATAATTCCGTACGCCCGATATGTAAAACAGATTTTTAAGACGTCAATTTTTAACAGCTCGTTCCGCTTTTCAGAAAAAAAGAAAAACAATACTGTCTTATAGACACTGTAACCCGTATTCATGTCTCGCCTTTAGCAGTAAACGCGGCTCGGGTGTCAGTTCACACGATACGCCTCCGTTATTTACATGTATATACATACATATATGATCGCATTACATATATATAATCTTGATAACTTACTTGATATGATATTAATAATAAGATACAGAATTAGATGACCTCGTTGAGAATAAGCGAGACGTGAACCTACGTATGTTACTTGTAGGAAGACAGGACGATCGCTGCGGAAACGGCGTTTTTCGGCCGTTTTTATTTTTTCTTTAATAGGTACTCGATGTTCCAAAGTGCAGAATGTATAACGTATTGAAACAATAATGTATAATCAATTTACGCAGTGTAATAAAGCGCTATAGTGAGTCTGTAACAAAGTAACGTAACGGAAAAAAACTTTTGCATACCTTCATAGGATACAATCGTGTTCGTTTTAAGCGTCAGCACATAAGTATTTTTTCAACCGATAAGAATAAATAAATTAATGCTGAAGTAATGTCTCGTGAATAACTTCGTATTTCTAATGGCACGCCGTGAAAATCCTAATTTCGGCAAGTACCATTACATAAAATACACGTACGTGTTATTTGCAATTAATAAAAATGCATATTGTATTAGCTACCGTATAAAATTCTGTTATACATTTTAACGACCGGATTGTACGCTCATACACTACATGTGGATAGATTTTATACTTTTTACGTAAGACAGCGAAAATTACATCCTCTTTGGAACGTATATAGGTACTTATAAATTTTATTATATCAAAAACATACGACATTGGTTGATGTGAATTTAAGCGAAACATGTGTGACGATCCGTATCATAGAAGATATCATCACTGATCACATCGATATTAATAAGTAATGATTATGTCAATGATCATTACATCAATAAAATGATGTTAAATCCATCGTTAATTAAACTGTCGTTAATTCTTGTGTGCATGAACTCTCTTTTGTACTAAATAGCAATGTACATAAACGAATGGAGAATAAAGAGTTTAATATTATTGAATTGCTCATTCAGTTTGTACTGACGAATCAACGCTCTATGAAGTTGATACGCACTTATGGATTATCATTATTAAACATCAATTAATATAATAATATCATTGCAGTCCTATCTTTCTGAACTAAGCCTTTCTGTTATTAAACGGTTTAAGGGGATGCCGGAGTGACTAAATTAATAAATTATTGACATTACAGTCGTATAAAAATCTCTGTATTGACTGAACAGATAATTTGGTCACTCTAGCATCTCCTACAATTGCGTGCGTGCGTGTGTTTCGAATGATATTTTAATTGTATTTATGTGAATTGATCTTTTTTCCCAGAAGATGAGAGATTAAACGAGAAAAATCCTTCGAAAAATTCATCTCAGATTTCCTAGGAAAATATACATTAACTTTATATAATCTAATGCCCGTTTCTACTCTAATGTAAATTAACTTTAATCTCGGTTTAAGTTACTCTTCATCTTTTTCTAAACTAAAAAAAGATGAAGAGTTAGTTGAATCAAGATTAAAATTAAACATCCTATTTATTTCGCATTTTCCAAGAAATTATAATTTGAAAGATAAATAGGGAGGCTAAATTTAATTGCGAATTTGAATATATTATATATTTCTGTATTTAATATATAATATATTTTATATAATATATTTTATATTTCTGTATTTATTTTATGTAATTTTTTATATAAATTTATAAATAATATGAATTTATTTATTATATATAATTTAATTGATTTTATATAAAATATTTAATTTATTTACATGTAACTTAATATATTTTTTGTAATACATAAGTTTTATTAGAGATTATTATTTATTTCTGTATTTTGCATAAATACATTTTATAAACATACTCAAAGAAAATATAATTAAAAAGCAGACTAAAGGTATAATTTTAGGAACGAATATAAAATATCGAAAAACCGTGAACTAACAAAAAGATCGGTACATTTGCTACGCTGTGCCAAATACCGGTAACGGATAGAAATCGTAGAACGTAGTATTCGAGTCAGTTTGAGATAATAATATGACAAACCTGCCGAAACCATCGCATAAGATGAAGGGGAACAGGTTGATCGCATCATCGCATGTTCGTCGTGACACGTGCGTTTGGAAATACGTACGGAAATAAAGCTAACGCATGTAAGCGCTATGTTAAATACATTGGCACAGCGTACGATAAATCTCCTTTGTCGCGATATTATTACCGTAAGTAAAAATGATCGTGTTAATCTCCTTAGAATAGCGATTTAAAAAGTTAGGTTATGTTAGATCGACATCGTCCGTTTCCACCACGTAGATTAACTTTAATCTCTCAGTTTAACTTTTATTGTTTATCGTTTTCTAATTTTAAGAATTAAAAAAAATTAAAGAGTATATAAATTGAATTGAGATTTAAGTTGATCCTACATTAGTGGAACCAGGTATTGAAGTACTTTTCCGGCGAGCGAAAAAGTAACAAGTAGGTAATAGTGTTTTTGTTGCCGTGCAGGTGAGAAAATACGGGCTAACGAGAAGAATACACGAGAGAGTCTGGAGGAAGACCAGGATGGATGACCAGCCACCGTCGAGGGTCGATCCTGTAGTCATGAAGCTGGACAGCCCGTATTTTCGCTCCATCTTCACCCCGGAATTAGAGAAACTTGCAAGCCTGTTCAAGAAACATAATTACGAGCTGAGGATCGCCGGCGGCGCGGTGCGCGACATCCTGATGGACAAGCAGCCTAAGGATCTGGACTTCGCGACTGACGCCACGCCACAGCAGATGAAGGACATGTTCACGAACGAGGAGATCAGGATGATAAACGAGAAGGGTGAAAGGCATGGAACGATCACGGCGAGGATAAACGATATGGAAAACTTTGAGATCACCACTCTGAGAATCGACGTTCTGACCGATGGACGCCATGCACAGGTGGAATTCACAAAGGACTGGAAGTTGGACGCTAACAGAAGGGATCTGACCATCAATTCCATGTTCCTCGACCTCGACGGCAGGGTGTATGATTATTTCTATGGTTACGACGACTTAAAGAAGAAGAAGATAGTTTTTGTAGGCGAAGCTAGTGTTAGGATTCAAGAAGATTATCTTAGAATCTTAAGGTACGTATTATTAATATATATATGGGGGATAAACAAAATAATATGAACATCTGAGAAATTAAAAAATTAAATTCTAACATTCCTAAAATTGCACAGCAATAACAAAACAAATATAAGGTCAATAGATACAAACAAGAAATATTAGGTTTTCCAGCAAGAGACACAGATAACACAGTGAATTACTAAATCCTTGTGGTTTGCCACTGTTAAACACAGATACAATCACTGTGTCTCTTGCTAGAAAGCACTAAATCGACTTGTTTTATTAATAAGAAATTGATCATCATTTGGTCTTTAATACAGATTTTATTCTTGTTGAAAGAGTTATATATGCTTGAATAGTATAACTGCAATATTGTACTGTTCTAGCAAAAGAAATTTTAATTGCTTGAAAGATATTGGAAAAAGAAAGAAAGAGATTAGAAGATATTGAAATCTCTTTCTCACTCTGCTCTTCTACTGTATATAAAACTACAAATGATACTAAATCAGGCAATTGCATTGGCTAGGAAAAATATTAGAGTTCCGGAAAACAGAGCAATTGGAAAAATAGAGAAAAATTTCTTTCTCCAATATCATTTATATGAGCAATTGAGTCTTTTCACGGTGCATGAAATTTCTAAGAATTTTTGCACTTAAAACGAGATAAATATATATTCGAATATTGAGGAAAGAGAAAATGAAGGTAGCAATTAGTGCAAGCAATGCAAACAGACCCATTGAAAGATATTCTATTATACTAAAATAATAGTACAACGTTCCATTGATAACTATTCAAGCATTATGTGACCGTTCCAATAAAGATAGAATGTATATTAAAAGCAGGTGATAGGCCAACCTCTTATTCATGAAATAAGTAGTAAAAAATGTGTATTTTTCAAGTGTTCATATTATTTAGTTTATCCCCTGTATATTATATGCATTTTTGCAGAATTTATCACAATTAATATAAGTAGCATTATTATGAACCTTACATGTATCAATAGTTACACCGAATCTTTGAGACGCTTACATAAGATTTACATTGTTTGATTACTGTCAGGTACTTTCGTTTCTATGGAAGAATAATGGACATCCCAAATCAGCATGACGAGGCTACGATAACGGCGTTAAAAGAAAACATTGGCGGTCTGAAACAGATATCCGGCGAGAGGATTTGGAGCGAATGGAACAAGATTCTAAGCGGCACTTTTGCCCTGGAATTGACCCTAAAGTTACTCGAGTGCGGTAGCAGCAGATACATCGGTCTACCCGAAGAACCCGACGTAGAGAACTTTCGAAAAGTTTATGAGCGCGCGCAATCAAATAAAGTGACTTTGAAGCCTATATCCTTGATCGTGTCGATGCTGAAGGATGAATACGAGGTGATAAAATTACACGAGAGATTGAAACTGTCTAATTCCGACAGAGATTTGGCGATCTTCCTGGTCCAACATAGGAAATGCAAACCCTGCGAGAAACCGTTGAAGCCTTATCAGCAGCTGGTCCTTCTTCAACAAATAAAGAGATATGACATCCTCAAAGAGGATGTGAAGGAGTTATTGAGATACTGTGGTGCAATGCAGCTTTTGGACGAATTCGAACAATGGGTAATTCCGAAATTTCCTGTCAATGGCAGCATGTTGATGAAACATGTGCCGGTTAAAAAGATGATAGGCAGCATCCTAATTGAACTGAAAAGGATATGGATCGATGCGGACTTTAAACTAACCGACGACCAGCTTATAAAGCATGTACCAAGTATAGTCAGTGAATTAGAAGAAGAATACAAAACATTAGATAAAGAGAAGAACAAGAAGTTTAAAAAACTGAAATAAATATTTTCGAAATATTTTGAAATAGTTTTGTTACCTGCAGCAAACATTATTATTTTATTAACAGAAATTTAGTAGGTTGTATTTAATTATTTTTAGACTAAATAGTCTAAGCAATTAGTAATTTATTACTGTTAAACATTTTATGAAAAAGATGAAGCGATTTTTGCATAATTTTTGATAAGTTATTTTTAGTGAAAAGCAAATAAATAAAATACTGTATATAGAAAAATGTTGAGATGTTTTTAATTGAAAGATATCGGTATTTCGAACATGAACTTAATTATATTAATAATTTATATCGGTTATGAATGTATCTTTCTATAAAATACGAAAAAAACGTACTTTATGTTAGGCACTCAAAGATTTATTAAGAAATAAAATCCTGCATTTTTTCCCCTGCAAATAAATTCTACAAGACGTGTTATATATTACAATTGTAGCAGGTGTATAAAACGAAATTTGAAATTACCAGAAAACATTTTTAACTAAAACGAAGATACGACATTCGATTTTGTCGCGTAATAAGTCGCTAATATGTGCCTTAAGTGACTGTGTATAGTAAGTCAAATAAATTGCTATATATTTTGCATGTTGAAAAGAAACGCACCATTGCTAGAAGTTTATATGAATGTAAATATATGCTTTTAGAAAAAGAATTCTTCTGACAGTTTGTATGTCTGTCATAGGGGCTCTGCACAATAAAAAGAACAGAGAACAGAGAATAAGAATTTCAACCTATCAGAAACTGTGTATTTCACAATACATAATTTCTGATAGGTTGAAATTCTTATTCTCTGTTCTCTGTTCCTTTTATTGTGCGGAGCCCCATAGAGTACAGCTGAGCATCCTGTGTAATAAATATAAGTAAAAAGAAAATATAATATACGTGTAACATATTACGAATTAAATTTGAAACGAATAGTCGTAAACTGCGATCGTATAAGATAAACGTAATCTGTTACTTAATTGTCATACAATTATGTGGACTTGCATAAAAATAATCACTTATATGTATTTTGGCTATTTCAAGTTACATTATAGATCGTTCCTAAACACTCAAATCTTTACAGACGCATACGCATTGCTACTGCATTAAATGCAATGATTAGATGTATATATATGTATATGTATATATACATAATATATATACATCTATATAGTATATATATATGTATAAGTACAATAATACAACAGCTATATATTTATTAGTTATCGATACTCACATCTTAATACACATTTTTATTCTTTTACAGCGTTATAGTAGATACTTTTTGATAGTATTACATTTTGCCAAGTACGATTATCCTGTTCCTTCCTCTGATTTCACAGGCGAAATCAAAAGCACGGATCACGTTTTCTTTCTTATGTGGTAAAGATTGGTGAGAATTTTTTTTAGACTGTGTTTGTTATTGCCTCAACCCTTCTTGGTGGACATGAGCTGTATGTCACACTATGCTACTAGTCAACAATATTATTAGCTATGTACTTAGAAGGGCTAAGATATTTCAAAGAAGTGAGATCAATTTTGAGAAGTGTGAACATAATCTAAAAATTCAACCCGTTGAATATGCAGTCTAAATCAATCATAAAGAAAAGGAAATATATAAAATATAATTAAATGTCGCGAAAATACATTTTTTCGTATCACAATTAATCCTGCACATTCAAAGAGATGTTATTTTTAGAACTATCAGGAATACATATAATGATTATTATTGCATTTCACGTAATATTTTACACAAACTATGTTTTTCAAATTATCAGGATCATATATTCTTATATATTCTCTTCAAGAGAGTTATGCAAACTAGATATACCGAAAGATCGAGGGGGAAGGCTATAAACATAAATATCTATAAAAATCATGTTTTTACACAAATGGAAATTAAAGAATTTCTTATACTCAACTGTACAGTTCGTGCATGCCTAGAATGTATAATTCTCTCGAATCTTTTCAGACTACTAAATTACTGCATAAGTTTTTAATAATGTTTACATTGTTTAATGTAGCGACAAAAGAATACCTAAATAAATACTTCGAACCATAAATTTAAAATTATACAAGTATTTATATAATACTTTTATTCTGCTCTAAACAAAAGATTACCTCAATTTATTAATTCAAGATTGCTATTTTCTATTATTCGACGACACGCACGCCTTCAGGATTATTAAATTCAAAATTATCATATACATATATTTTTTCTATCGATGCTCATGCTCATCAATCGAAATATTTCATATTTTTAGTAATGCAGGACTCTTAGCGTGCATATTGAGATTTATATTCATCTTGTGTAATAAATAATGATAATAAATAATTAAATAAATAAATATGAATAATTGGAAATATATTCCTGAGATTTCATAAATACTTATCAAAGTAAAGAATCATTGAATACAAAAATTCAATGAAAATAAACTTTCTTCGAGACACATTCAATTACAAGTTTTTTTCCCTTCATGTTAATGAATCGTTAACATATAGAGCGACTCAAATACAAAAATCTAGTAAGTTAACATCATGGACAATTTATGTGAAGTTATGCCTATTATAATTTGCACATATGTATATATATATATATTTTTTTAAATGTTAAAACTTTGGTTTTGTTATTCATCGCGGTTTATAAGTGCAATTATATTTGCTAATGCTATTCTGTAAGGAAATATCTCATTATCTTGCAACTCATACGACAAGTAACTTAAGTAACTTAGATATTGTCTCACTAATATTAAAACGTGTGTCGACTTATTCGAGACTTACTCATTTCAATCCTAGACTTCGTGTACATCGTTTAATACTAATTGCATAATAATGCAACGCATAATATTACTGTTATATTTAAGTCGCATTTACCATGAACACGTTATAACGTTAAAATATACATAGCCTGTGCATGTACTAGTTCTTACTTATTTATGGAGTTTAGTTATAGTGTTACTCATTATAAGATATTATATTTATTTCCCATAGATGGTCAGTAGCCACCGTCATAACGCATATCCAGGCATATATGGATTTCAAACACACCTAACGCATTTTTTTGTGACATCGGGCGTATGGATAAGTGTAACTTACAAGTGGTCAACAATAAGAAGCACAGTTTAACAAATAACTTCTTTCTACATCTTGCCATGAAAACTTACTCTATGACCAACGCGCTGCCCAGCGACCTATCAGCGAATGAAGTTCTCTTTAGTCTGTAAAGGAAAATACAATTTGATGTAATTACTACAAATTTTATTAAAATACTATTTATCGCAAAGAAAAGAATTTTGCGCACTGACGATTCTTAAATAGATCTTGACTGACGATCATCTTTTACATACCTTGGCACATTATTCATCGGAACCAGAGATACATTAGAGAATATATATTTCTTGCGTTTTTCTTTTAGATTAGTATCAATAAAAACAACAATACGCAGGAAATTATGAGTAATAAAAATATCGAAATTATAATTTCGTAATAATGTTGAGATTACCTTTAAGCAAAATAGGTGATGGAAAACAATATATATCTTGTTCTGAAAAATTATCCTAAATCATCTTCTTTCGTAAGTAGCTCGCTGTGCATTTAATGGAAATACATTTTGGTACGACTATGGATGACTTTTAGTAAGCTGGGGCTTGAAAGTCACCCATACCCCGCTGTTGTTGTTGACCGAACGGCGGTTCTTGGTAAGCAGTGTCAGTGGCGTCAGGATAACTTGTGTATCCTGTACCACCGACAGGATCCGCCTCGTAACTTGGAGCAAATGCCGCGTCAGTACCTTGTTTAAATCTTTGAAACGCGAACCAAGCACAAGCGGCCTGTAATGACAGAATACAATTCTGAGGCAAATTCAGAGGAGAACATAATCGTTTATCTATTTAAATCAAAGAAAACTAACTAAAAATAGAAGTTAACAATTAAATAAAATTTGCCGCATGAACTTCATCTAACGTACCCAAGTAAAGATGGAAAAGAACGAGAATGCAATAGCCGATTGTACATTATTGACTCCATATCCGTTCGGTGGTCTTACAGAATTATTCCATGCATTTGTCAAGTAACAGAATCCCACAAAATAAAGGAAAGACCACAAACCCGAGAAACTGTAATTATGATATTATTATATTAATATATGGTATATCATATCAAGTTGTGTATCAAGATATGTCGAAGGATTTCACATTAACACTTTTGACATGATTAAGATCATACAAATTTTACGTCTAGACTATACAAATGTATACAGCTTACCCTAAATCTATGAGGACAAAATGTTTCCTAGTCTTGACGGACGACATTTGTTCAAACAGGTATTCACCCGCGAGGAATCCGATACTGGCCAAAAACGCCAGTACTCCGATACCAATCCCATAGTTGCACGCATTATTATCCTCATTGTAAAGACAAACTTCTTTCCCATCTTCTTTCACAAGATAGCCCTTGCTGCTTATACATCCAAACACGATTATTGCAAATAGCTAGAAGCATGATAAAAATTCTTCTGTAAAACAGTAAAATGAATGAAGAATAGTAGAGACTCAGAAGATGAAGATATATTGTGTTGTAACAAAATATAAAATATTTATACATAAAAATTAAGGTTCTTTTCCTTTTAGAAGATAGTCATTTTATCTTTATTAGTCATTGAACGCCAAGAAGGATAGAATGACATCATATGGACTGTGTCTCCTAAAAGCAGTCTAAAACACAATACTTTAACAAAAGTAACGCATAACAAAAGCCTAAATATATATTTGATATTCTTTAATTACTTTTATATTTTATTATATTTGATAATATATAAATAATTAAATGGAGAAAAAAATATTGGCTGTGTCTTGATCGAAAAAAATACACGAGTCTGAAATCAATAAAAATCTATTAAAAATTCAATTTAACATAAATATGCTATTCCAAAATCTTCAATATTTTTTCGAATATGATTCCAATTTTAAAATATCTCGGATCTTAAGCTGACATGCTCTGACTGCAGGCACCTTGCATATTTAACCACTGCTTTCCTATATTTATATAATACAGGAGAAATAAGCGTTTTTGACAAGAAAAAGAGAGAGAGAACGAATGGGATGGAATTCATTAGTTAATAACGTTGTCAAGAAGACAATGCGGGGAGAGGTCCGCGACCCGAGCTTTGCATTTCGCTAGATATATCCGCGAGGAAGGTCAAATAAATGATTCGCTCCGTCGAATCGAGCAGCAACGGGTCCCAATAATAATTATATCAAACACCATAGAGATCCATGGTGCACGGGTGCGTACCCGCTGGAATTCGCGAAAAATCAATAGAACCCCATCATGGTAGTGGTAGTGGGGGAGGAGCCGAGGCTCTCTTTTAAAATCAATGACCATCCGTGTCGAGGGATCTCGCTCGTTCTCACCCCCCTCCCTCATTCTCCTCTCTCTCTCTCTTTACCCACGGCACCGTCGTCGTCGCGATCACGCTCTTGAATCGACCTTGAAACGATCCCGCTCTCAGGAGGCTGTGACGACTTACCAGGCATAATGCTCTCAGAATGACCTGCGGCCGCTGGACGAACGCGATCGGATCGAAAGGGGCCCCGGCCTTTCCACCGCCGTACGCTCCGCCGTCCATCTTAGTGCGACTGAAGCGGAGATTTCAAAGCTCACGCAGCGACCGAGCGCATGCGCATGCGTTCACCGCTTCGACGATAGCCCCGGGGGTGTGTACGCGGATCCGGCGCCGTGCCTTCGTGCCGTTACGTTAGGGTACTATATTATACAGGAATATGCATCCGCCATATTGGCTCTTAGTCAGTGCGGGAAAATTCAAGCCAAGCAAAGATGCCGTACTGCCAGTGCTGAAAATCTATAGTATACTATAAATTTAAAAAATAGTATGTACACTGACAGTGTATACGAAACACGGTCGTAGAATTAATAAGTGCAATAAATAAAATGGGCGGTTGTAGTGCATTAAATTGTAAGAATAGGAGTGAAGCCGGGTTTCAACGTTCCGCTTTCCAACGGAAGCAGAAAGAAGAAAGAAGTGGTTAATAAACTGTCGGCGTGATAAATGGATACCTTTCTCGAATTCAAGATTATGCGAGGTAAATACTTATATTTATCATTAAACTTTATTTCAATTATTTAGAGCAAAAGATGAGAAATGGAAAATTGAGGTTAGAAATCTTCCCATTCATCACAAAATGTTTCAAAGACATTTTAGCATGTTTCTGAAAGAATGCAACTTTCCTGACATCTTCATAAAAACCTTTCTGAAAATATCTTATAAATATTTGTTTCATATTCATATAAAGCAAACCCATACATTACATTCGTGCTGTATGGGTTTGCTTTATATGAATATGAAACAAATATT